AGGCGTATGAACTGAGCAATAAGTTATCGGCTCCCAATGGGTGCGAATCCCTGACTTCGCTCTGCTGTCTTGCGGGTAGGCTATTGAGCCAAAGGCTCGGGGTGGTGTCCCCTAAGTCAACTCCCTACTTCGGCTTGGGCAACCGGATAGTATCGTGCACCCTGTGAAAACCATGGATTTCGCAATTACTACTACGTCGCTTACTTCTGCTGCTACTTTCCCTACTACTTGTGCTTCTCCATCACACGCCAACTTTTCTCTTGTTGATAATCCACAACCTGTTGAATCTACTTCCAATGCCCGTCTCGTTGATATCCAAATCGTCCGGCCATTAGCTATCCTTCGACTCCGTACTTCATTCCGCCTGGCAGCGTTCAATGTTCGGACCCTCCTAGATTGGACAACAGGCTGGCCTGGCGCGCACTCTAGAGTTCCTCGCTATCGATGTTTGTTACCTTTCAGAGACTCGAGTGCAGGATCCCAACACAGTGGTTAAGTTGTCGTCCCCATCTACTCTTGAAATCACATATTACCTACCTCTGTCTAGTGACAGGGAGGCAGCAGCAGCCGGCTTAGCTGGTGTCGGTATCGCATTGAGTGACAAAGCGGAAGCTGCATTACTCGACTGGTTTCCAATCGACAGCCGGTTGTGTGCTGTTCGGCTTCAAGGCTCATGTAGAATCAACAGACATCGTGAAGAGAGGCGCAATTTGTTTATCTTTTCTGCCTACGCTCCAACCGATGCACAGCTGTGCATCGGTTATGAATGACTTTTATCATGGACTCCACAACCTTTTGGACAAGGCCGAAATGTCTGATGTCATTGTTCTTGCCGGAGATCTCAATGCACGAGTAGGTCACCTTCCGTGCGAACGTTATCTTGGTGGCCGTCACGCGCTTGATGAGAGACGTTCTGACAACTCTGATAGACTTCTTACGCTAGACGAAGACCACCGTCTCTTTCTCTCAAGTACGAACTTTAGGTGTACCAGAAGACGTGCAGCCACCTGGCGTTCTCCTTCACCAACGCAAGCGTGGTCACAAATAGATCACATTGCAATCAGCTTTAGATGGCGAGGCAGCGTCCGGGGTTGTAGATCGATTTGGTCTACGTACCTCGATTCAGATCATGCTTTGATTTGCGCGGACATCTGCATGCGCTTCGGCGGCTCTTTAGAACGAAAGCTCCATACGCTCGATACCAACAGGTTAGCTGACCTCTCTACTCGATCAACTTATCAAGCTTCCTTATCGCATGCATTCATTAGTGCTCCATCTCGAGAGATTGAAAATCATTGGAGTTTCCTGCGTGAAACGATGCTAACTTCCAGTCATTTAATCTGCGGGATCACAAGACGCCCTCTGAGGGGTTGGATTTCCGCACACTCACTGGAATTATTTGATCGTCGTAGAGCTATCCCGACCGATTCAAATAGCATTGCATTGCGTCGCATTCTCAGCCAACAACTTAAGCAAAGCCTGCGTGCTGATCGCGAAACTTAGTGGTCCCAGCACACCTCAGAGATGGAAATGGAAGCCCTCTCTGGAAACTTTCGCAAGCTCTTCCAGGTCATTCGGGCCACTGGTCACAAAAGACTTGGTGTCAGCGAAGTCATTTGCGAGGTTAACGGAACGCTGATAAGCAATTTACACATGTGCATGGACCGCTGGGCTGAACAGTTCCGCACTCAATTCAGCTGACATCCTCCGCCGGCAAGCCTATTGAGTATACCCAGTTTCGCGCTTCAGAACGTCTCATTGGAACCACCCACTGATGCTGAGGTCTGGCCTTGAGCTCCGACACTTGAAGCGACTCAAGTCTGCTGGCCCAGATGGACTTCCTCCAGAGCTGTTCAAGTTCGGGGGCGAAGTAATTATCATCCAGCCAACAGCTCTAGTCTCTAAGATCTGGTGTAAAGAAACAGTTCCATCCGCTTGGGGCGAGCCAATTATCGTCCCGATCTTCAAGAAAGGTGCCAGTACCCTATGCGCTAACCACCGAGGAAGCAGTCTAATGTCCGTTGCCTCCAAGCTGTTAACATCCATTCTACTCCGCAGACTAACCCCGATACGAGAATTGCGCTCCCGTGAAAAATAGGCTGGTTTCCGCCCCATTCGAGGGTGTATAGACCATTTGTTTACGCTCCGCCAAATCCTTGAAACGCGGCAACTTTACCGCTAGCCCACTATCGTCGTTTCTCTGGACATCCCAGCCGCTTCCAACTCCGTCGATCAGCCAGCTTTATGGTATTGCTCACAGAGAAATGGATTACCCGAAAAGTACAGTGCCATCCTTCGAACCTTATACTGCAATGTCTCAGGTAAAATGAGGGCTTAAGGTAGGCTCTCTTCGCCCTTTGCCGTCACTAGCGGTGTACGACAGGGTTGCCCCATGTCCCCGATTCTCTTCAAGTTTGCGATCGAAAATGTCCTTTTAAACGCTCTCGAGGGCTTTCAGGCTTATGGAGTAGAGATTCATTCTGGCAACCGGGTGACCAATTTAGACTGCTGATGATATTGTCTTGCTTGATGATGACGCAAAGAGCACACAGGCCATTCTAAACCGCTTGGCGATTGAAGCAACAAAATATGGAATGATTGCCCCTACGAAATTAAAAATCCTGGTCCTGGATTGGCATCCATGTGCCCCAGTGCTCACGCTTCAACGTACGCAGCTTGAACAAATTTAGCTGTGGGATGGTGGATCAAAGATGAAGAACACTGCTGGCTAAAAAATTTCGGAAATGCCGCAGAACCGGGCCCCATGGAAAATGTGCACAAATGTTTGTCTTCATTTTCTTGATTTACATCGCAAAAATAAAACAGACAAAAAGAGAAAATGGCGTGTGAAAAAAAACAAAAAAGAAAGATAAGATGCAAACACAAAACAGTTTTTTGCAACTCATACTTTGTAGTCTCTGTATTTATCACTTCCGTTTCATGATTTTCGCTGGCTCTACGTCTATAGTATAGACTGATGATGATGATTATTATTACTGGTTGGAAGCAGCAAGAAGAGGTTTCTCTGTGTAGCTGTATCTAATGTCACTCAGGGACAAAGACCTCTAAGGTTGGGGTGCGCTCGATATATTTTATATTGGCAAAGCGTTTGTCCAGGAATCCGACACCGACTTTGCCTCAACTACCTGCTGTGCCATGGCGTTTCATACATTCACCAATCTACCTTCGGAACAAAGTCGGTGAGTGACCCGCTTCAAACCCGGTACAAGAAGCTTGTACCGGTGTCCTCCTGTGCTGCTTGGTGTGCGCAGATGTAGCAGCGACCTCAACATGGGATAATCTCCCAGATGTAATATCTGGTGCGTCATGATGAGGTTAACCCGCAGTTGACGATAAGCTAGGGTGTAAAGCCCTAGTTTCTTACACCGGTCATCCTATGGCACACCTCGTAAGTTGGGAATCAGCCTGGTGGCTACATGCTGCAATCGTTCAATCTTTTCTACCTCGCCCCGGGCGATAGGACAATACGCGGGAGAGCCATAATCTAGCATTGGTCGTATTATTGGAACGAAGAGGAGAGTGGCAATCTCTTCGGACTAAGTGCTGAAGGTGCGCCTGAGCGCCCAAAACATACGGAGGCTGTTTTGGTAAGCATACGAAGGCAGGTGATATATATATATATATATATATATATATCGTTTAGCCGGGGCATAAGCGGAAACCACAAACAAGCAGCGTCAAGTAGTACTTCGCTAATCAATCTTAGTTGACGTCGTCAAACGGGCTGCACACAAAAGGTTGTTCACCGGAATCCAGTCAAGCAACGATAGTTCAGTCTTGGAGCTGAGAACGATGCCAACCCCTGCCTGACCAGTAACCGCCGCACAAGCATCTACGGATGCGTGCAACAAATAGCGAGAGGACAAGCCGGGCGCAGTTTATTTAATAAGTCCATTAGGGTGATTGATCCTAGTATCGGACACACAATACACGTCAATACCCAGTGTCCAACGTGCGTGTCAGTGCGCCCTTTTGACTAATTTGCCTTAGAATGCGCATGCTGAACACCGCCAGGGAAACCAGACAGTGTGGACTTATGAGGGCCTGTTGCCGATAGGAGTCTGGTGGGTGTTGCGGGAAGGTGGCTGCATATGGTTCCACTCCAGTGTCACTTCAGTTGCTGTCAATTAACCCGGGAACTATAGAAGGGAGATTAGTAATGGGGTTTGGGATGGGAGTAAAAGAAACAGGTGAAAATATGAAAGGATGCGCGCGTGGTAGCGTTTTCGCTTATTCGCCCTGCTGTATGCAGCACATCAGGCGAACTTTGATAATCTGCGCGACGGTCGATGCAGGATGTAGTTATAGTTTGGAGAATTTGTCGTGGTTGTATGTGGGCTGAGATACTGCCATGGCGCGCAGCCCTAGACAGGAGGACAATTAGGGTCCTCAACCAAATCCTTTGGCTCGAAAGGTTGTCGGCAAGACAGCGGGGAGATGGCAAGGATTTGGTTTTACCGCAATGGACGTCACCCTATTTTAAACTCCCAAACTGTAAGACCAGGAAAGTGAGTTTGTCTGACCTCGAACCATCGAATTAACGTGGTAAGAGTGGTTCTCAAGCGTCCCGGTGGCACCACTCAGTGTAGCTCAATGGGTCAAGGTGGCACGCAAACTGTCGCACCACGTTAAGTTCCAGTCTCATTTCGATGGCAGGGCATGCGAAGAAGCGAAGTGACACGTTAGAGGACTGTGTAAAGTAGATAATCGCCAATAACTATAATCAGAGTATAAAGAAAGCTCGAATCCGTGGCCCAGATGAGTGACAACGCGCACAAGTCCGCACAATTATCAAAAGGCTTACTGTATTAACAGCGTAGGACAACGGGTTTAGCACATATTGTTCACATAAGTGAGCAACAAAAAGAGATGACAAAAGTACATAGTTACATTCTAAGAAGAGCAGACGTGTTCTGAAAGAGAGGTTTTTGAGACAACCGTGAATGCTGGCGTGTACGAAGTGGTGAAGGATCTCTAACTGCGTCCAAATCCGTTCTCGATGCCGATTCGCGAGATGAGCGGGTGGAGGAACGAACATCTTCAGTTGCTTCGATGGGTTTCTGATGTGTCTCTTTACGTCGTGTAAGAGCACCCATAGGGACACTGGCATCAAAAGTGGAAGGCTGACCATCTGGCTCTTCCGACACGCTAGAACGGAGCGTACGGTGAGCAGATGAACGCCTGATAGGTCCTGCCTTCATTTCATTACCCTCCAGGAATGTGCTCTCGTTTTCGGCCTGCATGACTTTAGGTCGAGGCACCAGGACTGGATTGGCATGCCTTTGCGATGCGTGTCGAACGGATCGAAATCCCTGCACCTGCGGTTCAGTAGATCCAGATGATTCAGAAGCGGAGGCGGTCACAGAGGTATTCTTTTTCTCTGAGGTTTGGGAAAAGGAGGACGACAAACTTTAAGCCAGTTTGGGGATAATCATGGAGCTGGTTGCTCCCGATGCTAACACAGGGAAATGAGCGAAAAGTAGTAATCTCAGGCTTCTCAGTCGGTAGTATGCGATCGAGAGGTAGATGCAAAGAGCTTGCTTTAACTGGCTGAGCAGTCGTGAAAGGCTGGCACAACACTATGCAAACTCAGAGGCCATTTAGACAGCGACACGCGTGGTGATGGTACTCTAATCTGAATTAGCAAAAATAACTCTGTCTACTGTATAAAGTGAAAACCGAAAGTAGGAAAGGAAGGGTAGGGAATGACCAGATGCATGTAAAATGGAGAACAGCAAATGAAAACATGGGTTAGTGGAACGAATTTCAAACAAACCATGACGGACCCTGGAAAGTGGACGAAGACGATGATGCTGGCGGGTGCATTCCACTTTCCTTGTGAGGTGGCTCGGTTTTGGAGAACCAGAATGACCTGGTCAAATCCAAGTAGTCGAGTAACATGGACACGTGGCGCGTCACAATGGCGAGACGACAAGTGGTTATTGACATGGAGCCGAGAAGTTTGGAGAGAGTGGCTGCACCGTTGACGGAAAGAAAGGACAGATTTCAACAGTGTGCAAAAAAATGTCGCTGATGCAAAAGAACGTAAAACAACAGATGGCACAAGTAAAGCGGAATGACGAACTGAGATGACAGAGGTGTCTGTGCTGCGAAGTAGTCCGCATCCTCCTCTAAGTCAGCGGTTCTCAAACTGTTTTGGGTTGTTACCTACAAATTTAGTTCACCATGAATAATTACCCCAAAAACTAACAGTTTAAAAAGATAATTAACTACTGCGCTTTTTGCTTTTGTTTATGGAAAATGAATGCTATTTTAAACTAGATTTTATAATTCAAATAAAGAAAACACCTATTTTGGGGCAACGTTTTATTCACTCAAGTGCTGATGTAAGTCAATGAGAGGTGGTTGGATATTGCTTTTAGTTCCAACAACTGCTGGTATATTTGGTGCGGTTTCGTGCAATGCTCTAAGTTCATTCCGTTTGGCGTGTGATCCCTGATCAAACATGAACAGATGTCAGTGGCTTCTCATTTGTTGCAACCACACCTTCCATTCCATCCTGGAGGACAGTTTCCCATCACCACACTGTGTCGATAAGTCCTAATCTCCTAATCTCCTGTCTTGTCCCCTTTGTAAACATTCATGCATTGGAATTTATTGGATTCATTGGAATATTGAGAGCAGGAGGGAGAGCCCTTGTCAGATCAATCGGTTCTGAATCATTACAAGGTGGGTGCTTGCTGTCGGGAAACGTTACTTCTTCGGAGATCGTCACCTTTGAAGTAAAAACAGCAGGACGCTGCCATGTGCGTTAGATGAGTCTAGTAACTGATTGAAACTTTTCTCTGTCTGCGAACCAGTGATGTGTTTCGGCAGACTGTTCCAGTCATTTATCATCCTAGAAGATAGAGCAGCTTACGGACGGGCGCGAAGTGTCCTCGCGTTAAATAATTTCCACTTGTGGCCACGTGTCGAGCTGTGGAGCTCACTGCCAAGCTCTCTCCTTTGGATGTGTCTGGTGTAGAGGAAATCTCCGCGACAGCGGCAGTAATCCATGGAGAACAGGTTCAAAGTCTTAAGTCGAAGAGTGTACGTGAGGTCCCGAAGCTCCGGTTTAGATTTTGAACCACATCTCTCTACACTATCAGACCGTGTTCAGATTTCGTTAGGGGGTAGGCGACCGGGAGACCATATTCTAGAATTGTACGTACATGCGAAGCGAATAGGGTTCTGAAAGTTTCCGACGTAATTTTGCAGAACGACCTTCGCAAAGCCCAAAGCATTCGGTTGACTGCTGCGACTTTCTGCATGTCAAGTGATGCCTTGAGCTTGTACGAGACGATGAGTCCCAGGTCCTTCTCATGTGTGACAGACTTGAGGCGGTATCCTCCGATATGATACGAACCGTAAGGATTCGTGCCACCAATCGGGAGAACGGCACATTTGTCACGGTTTATCGGGAGTCGCCACTCAACGGACCAGTTATGCAGCTGGTCAAGCGAAACTTGGAGTCTGTCGGCATCCTCGGGGCAAGATATTTCAGACCACAGTTTGAGGTCCAGAGTAGACTAAACAGTCAGTTGGAAATGTCGCTGGAAGATCGTTGATGTACAGTCTAAAGAGCTCTGGTCCAATTACGGAGTCTTGTGAAGCCTCACTGGAGAGACTGTCTGATTCATCTTCACTTGGACAATACGTGCTTCCAGGAAGTCTGAAATCCAGTACAAGACGTTTCCGGTGACACCAACTCCCTGAAGTTTGAGCAAAAGCCGTTTGAATGGCACTTTGTCAGATGCCTTGCTGAAGTCGATGAAGACGAGATCAAGGTGTCTCCTCTCGTCGGTTGCTTTAACTCATGCTTCTCTGGCAGGAAGCAGGTTAATGATGCAGGATCGTGCCCTGCGAAATCCGCGCTGTGAGGGGGTTATTACGCATAAGCCTTCCCAGAGAGCGCACTTGATTATTCCCTCCATTACTTTGCAGACAACAAATGTCAGCCGGTAGTGCGCAGGGTCCTGCCAGTCACCTCCTTTGTATTTAGGCATTAATATATCTACTTTCCAAGCGCTAGGTAAGCGGCCCTCTGCAAGTGAGAGCCGGAATACTTGGGACATTGGATCGGCGATGTACTCGGCCAACAAGCTGAGGAATAGTGGGTGTAGTCCGTCAGGAGTTGGCGCGGAGTTATGGTTCAACATACGGATTGGTCACAAGACCATCTCGACGCGAATTTCAACTTGCTCCAGAGTTGGGGAGCACGTGGACACATCGTTGTTGGGAAACGGTGGCTCTAACGAATAGACTACTGAGTACTGCGAGGCCAGTAAATTGACTTTCTCATCATCGCGATGTATTACAGTGTTTTCTCCAGGGCAAGATAGAGGAGAGATCCCAACACCCGCTTTGTTGTTTCGGCTTAGGTAGAAGAAAAGCTTCTTCAGGCACGTTGCGGATTGAACATATAGGTATTGTTCGTATTGAGCTCACTTCTGCCGCTTTTCCAGGGGGCACAGGTTCCGAGCCTCTTTGTAGTTTAGGTAATCCGACGCTAGTTGTGTACTCTTGAATACGATCCAGAGTTTATGCCGTCTGTTCAGTAACCACCTCAGTTTTCGGTCGACCCAGGGAGGTCCTTTGTAGAACGGTCTGCCTTTGAAAATCGGAAAGGCTTTCTCAAGGATGGACGTCATCTTGGACAGCAATAGGTTCCACACCTTATCGGCACTCAGGGACTGTGGGATACTCCAATCTTCCGTGCTTGTCGCAGCTTGTAATCTGGATGGATTTGTACGCCAAAAGTTACGACGATATGCTCCGCGGTCATTGATGGTAAGACGTCGTATCCACAGGAAGGAGACTACTGAGTGGTCGTTTCGGCCGAGTGATTGGAGGGTCTCCAAGACATCAGAGGGCATCGGAGTGAACATCAGAACAAGGACGCTTGATGCCTGGCCCGGGAGCATCCGCGATGGTGTAGATATGTGCTTAATTAGATTGCATTCCTGAACAGCGTCAAGAAGCCCCACTAGAAGGGATCTTGAGGAAGATTACAATGAAGAAGGTTCCAATTGATACTGGGTGCAATGAAGTCACCCATTGGCAGATAGTTTCTGCCTCAGTCATTGGTTTCGATCGAGTCCAGGAGACGAGAGCTTGAGCTCGAGGGAGCTCTGTAGGCAACTCCAATCGTGAGTGTTTGCTGGCCATAATGGATCCGGCACCAAAGCATTTCAGAGGCAGCGTTACTGTAGGAGAACGGTTCAACGGTGTGAACTTTAAGGCAGTCTTTCGGGTGGAGAATCACTCCCCCTCCAGTCCTCCCGTCAGTACAATCAGCTCGTGAGAGTTGATATCCTGGCATGCTAATTTCCGTGCCCAAGACTTCAGAGAACAGCCAAGTCTCTGTAAACGCCAATAGATCTGGATGGTGTTCAGAGATGAGAGGTGGAAGCTGTGCACATTTGCAAGTATTACCCGCAAGCTGGGTAGCAGAAAAAGTGGCCGCCAGCGAGCTCTCAGTGTTCTCTTCACTATGCGAAAATCCATAATATGGAGATCAATTTCACCATTGGTTCTACGTGTGCGTAGCTTATTGACAGTTTGTTTCATTTTAACTCGATCTTCTGGGCAAAGGTCTCTCAAAACGGAAAATGTTTCACCCGTAAGGCGCGAAGTGCACTTGAGGATGCGGCGGCATTCTTCTAGGTTTTGACAGACGACTTTAAGCGGGCGGAACTTCGCAGGATCTTCCTGCCTTCTACCTAGGCGGAAGGCTGCTCATCTTCGTCGAATAGGATGGATACAATTCGTTTGAGGAATGCCGGGTCGTCAGGGATCCTTTTAGCGGAGAGCACTGTTAGATTCCGGAACATTTGTAATAACCAAACACCGTTCCCTAGAAGGTCTGTTTTCTCTGGTTTCGATGCAACCGGTTTTTCGGTTATCAATTTCTCAAGTTGTGTGTTTAACTAAAACACACTTGTTGCACTGAAGTTAAGTTGGATTTCGCTTTGTCTCCAGTGGCTGCTTTCCTGGTTTTTCGGTTCGAGGCATGGTTCCCGCTACCTGCATTTTCAGATCCAGTGCGCTCCGCCGTCGCGTAGGACTTTGTCCTGGTCACATTTCCAGCTGCGGCTTCCTAGCCTTTGTGCTCTGCATCATGCAAAAGCGCTCCAGCTGATGAAGCGGAGGAAGATCGACTTCGTTCGCGCACTGGGGTGGTGGAAGGAGACATAAATGATGAGGCAGTTGGCGGTGCAGTGTTCGTCTCGGTCATTTGCGTTGAGGTCAGACAGGCCAGAGAGGATTTGTCACTTACAACAATACGGCACTGATCACAGTGGAATGTAATGCAGGAGGAAGCCGTTGATCGTAAGCATTCATACAGGTCGGGTTCGATATTGTAACAAGTTGTGTGGGGCCATCCTTCACATAGGCCACGTTGCACGACCTTGGCTTGGGAGGTGACACTTGCCGCAGCTCAGGCACTGAGAGGCCATTGTTTCGTAGGAGCTCGACAAATTTCGAATCGTTTGAGACAATAATACAAAACCCAGAAGCCAACGAGAATTGCAGGTCGCTATTACCTGGTCGGCGAGATTAGTGTTTATTCAATTTGCAATTTGACCCGGCGAACGACTGCCTGACTCAAAAGAACAACGGTCGTAAAGCAAGCCAGCAGGATCATCATTTACGTGCGCCACTTTGCAGGCTTGTATTTGTATGTTAGGTAATAAAACTTAGTACCGAAAATTGTTTAGTTCACTGACTACTCACTAATGATTGGTCACTGATGACTGATCAATACTGTTTAGGTAGTTGGTTGATTTTTTGGTAGAGATAATGTTGTTAGTAATTTCCTTTGGCAACAGATTGATGGCTCAGTTCTCGTAGTTGCACTTATCCCAGATTGAAAACCCCTGCTCTAAGTGAATCTGCATCAAACTCTATTGGATGAGTGCATCCGGTTGATACTTCAACTGATAAGTACAGTCGTTATCGTACCCTTGAATAAGTAACGATGGTCTCGGTGCAAACAACTCAGAAGGAATCCGTAATACAGCGTCAGAAGAATAGGATATTGAGGTAGGAGTACAAATATGATGAAGGTAGATTGGCCTTGTAACATAAAACCAGGGAAATCGATTTCCGCATCCGTGCAACCTTATCCACCACAATGGTAGCAGAGAAACCTTGACTAAAATCTTTACATGTATCCCATCATTATCAATGCAGACCGCGGAAGCATATACGACCGAGCAAAATACAAATGAGCCGCATTGACTAATGTTTAAGGTTCCCATCAGCTGATTCAAAACAGGAGCGAGAAGTTGTTGACTTTGAGGGCGTTCTGGACATCACCAAATTGTGCCGGCTGTTACCAAGCAGAGAAGACTGCGTATTGCGCTGCAATGCACAGCCTGACCAACGTGTAGCTAACCTGGTGGCCCATGTACCACAGGTGACATGGTCCAGGTTGGATAACAGTTAAAGTGTTAACGCGCGTTGCTGCCTGCCTGACTCACGTTTCCACGTACGCTTACAGGCCAGCTTGAAGTCGGTGCAAAAGTTGAAGATGCATCTACACGGCCGCAGCAGAATGCTAATTGTTGCAGTGAAAAATAAAGTGTGCAGTTCTCGTGACCGTAGTAGGATTCCAGAGCTGATCTATCATGGTACGATCTACGCCCTAAGCATAACCCCCTATACGCTTGGAATGCATACTTTCTTAATTGTATATCAGAGATGGGCGCGTTCAGGGGGCATGGGCGGAGTTTGTACCGATCATAGCACGCACTCCCAAGCCTTGATCCTTAGGATTTAGAATAGGCGTGGCGTATGCAGGTGCTCCATCGCAAGCCCCCATGGTTTGTAGGCGGTTGCAAGCGTCCGGGGTTGATCGGGACCACAGTGACGAATGAATCCGAAGAAGGAAATCGCCAACCACTACCTCCACAGCCTACTAAGAATTAGACTTTTTCTCACTGGCATGTTACTTTGTCCACACCCATCGACAGACAAGGTACGATGTAACCAGAAGGTTCAACGGAGCTTAACTCGCACAAAGAAGCATCGCTGGACGTGTTTGGTCGACCATAACCAAACTGTAGCAACTACGGTGAAACATACGTGCACGCTGTGATCCGTCCACATGTGTTGAACTGTGCCGCGCGTTGTGGAGAAATAGAATATTTATTCATTATGCAGCACTTAATCGGCATTCGCATATTTGTGACTGAAAAAGTTGGTTAATAGATTGTTGCAAACAGCTTCATAGTACAAATTTAACACGTTGACATAAATACGTCGTGAAAACGAAAGGTATGTGGCAGTAAAAATAGCACCGTCAGAGTGTAGCGGTGGCCGGAGAAACTTACGAAACAGACGCAGGAGGTAGTGAGCAGGGTAACATAAGCTGGGCAAATCCGGCGACGCGACAGCAGCGGACGCCGGCAGAAGCTCCAGTCGTGGAGAAGTGAAATTGTGCGACGATTTCACGTCCGGTGCGAGGGTGCCGAGCGGGAATGCGCCACCATTGCTAGTAAAACGCATTCGCCTAGTGAAAGATGCGGATGTAAAAACAGCAGGAAAAGAAGTAGTCATACAAAATGTGGGAACACGATTGCACTTACTCTTAGCAAAAGTACGGGGGCAGAGCAACAAATTTCCAGATACGAAGTAAACACAAATTATGTGCAGATGATCAGGCAAGACAAATGTGAACTGTAATCCACTCTGAACAATATTCAGTGGTTTCAACTCACAAAACTTTATATTAGCAGCCCAACACATCCCACAAGTCATTTGAGTCGGTATGCTCTGAGTGTAAGTATGGAACTCAGTCGATGTCACTGGAGGACGATGATTTTCTATACAGATGTATGTAAGGCAGCAATTGAGTGTTGAGCGATTGCGTGCTACATTTGATGGTGCGTCGTCAAGAACCACCGTGTCTGAGTGGTTTGCAGGATTCCGGCGGGGCAGGCAATCCCTGGATGATGAGGCACGGTGTAGTCGACCTGTGGAGGTCACCACGGCGGACAACACTGCCGCTGTGTGAGCGCCGCTGGAGGACGTACGTGACTGTGGTACAGCTGGGGAAATCCGTCGGTATCAATCCGTACCATTTTATATGAGTACCACGGCCTCAGAAGGTTTGCGCACGCTGGGTACCCTGTCAGCTCAGTGAGGAGCAGAAAGCTGCTCGGGTGAATTCATCATCATTATACACGTTAGCTACAGGTGGAGAACACCTCAGCTACTGTGCCGTAAGGGTAAATTGGTGCCGCCCCATGCTTGCTAGGTCAGATGGTGGACGTTCTAATGCTGGTTGGGAAATTCTCAGGGGGATCAGACCTGTGTGTACGGTTTTGACCCTGGGACAAGCACCACCACCAACAACAATGGACGACCGTTGGTGAAGCGCCGCCTCAGAAATTCCGGCATAAACGCAGTGTGGCCAAGTAGATGATGGCTGTGTTCGTGGCCAAGACCGGTCATGTGGCTACTGTACCGCACGTACGGCAACGCAGTCGACGTAGACTGGTATGCCACTCACTGTCTGCCATAAGTGATGGAAACCGTAACCAGGTCTTGTCCAAGTACTCGAGCACGACGAATCTTGTTGCACCATAAAAACACACCTGCACACGGGTCCCATATCATCGTACATTTTCGGAGTAGAGAACGAATCCAGGAGGTTGGTCACCCACCCACAGTCCAGACTCGGCTATGTGTGACATTTTCTTGTTCCAAAATGTCCAGCGCATGATGCGTGGAATCCGTTACGAGTCTCCAGAAGCTGTAGCAGAGGTCTTTAATGAGTAGCTTGAAGAGCTGCACGCTTCGGCATGGCCTAGCTGCTTCTCCTAATGGTTTGAACCCATGGAACTGTGCAAGAACGTTGGCGGAGGGTACCTCGAGAAAAGGTAATGCTTATTTTGTTGTGAAAAATAAAACTTTTGTAGCTTTTGAAATCTATTGCTTTACCCTTGTAATGATGTGACGATTCGCACATCTCTAAGTAGGAGCCGGAGTGGAATGCGATGACACTAGGTTTGCCAGGTGCACATAAGCAAGTAGGGGTCCTCGGAAACCGCTCTAAGGCTCATGACCAAACGTGACATGATCACTATCATTATCCTTTACCAGTAATTATAACAACAGTTAAAAATAAGAAGTCAGTTGTCGCGTGTCGACCCACTAAGGTTGCACTGCCTTGATCAAAATGGAGTGTGTTTAAAGTGATCCATGTAAGCATTCGCTCCTCGCTCACCATCGCAAACTTGTCTTAAGATGTTCGAAGCAAGACAGCGGCAACCGCATCGTGGCGCAGTAAAGTATACACACATCAAAGTAACCGCATACATCAGCAAACGGCTCCAAGCCCTGAGTAGGTGAGTGAGGAACACTCACAGGGTGCTGAAGGATGAAGGGACAACGATTTCGAGCACAAGGAATAAGCAACAACAGACAGTGAGGTATGCAGTCGTTAGGAAACCGAAACTTGACCCAATGAAAGTAAAGCGTCTAAAGGCAAGTAAATGTAACAAAAACGAGCCGAATGATGCTTAAAAGCATACGCATCGCAATGGGTGAGGTGATCCATTATCCTTAGGTTAATAATGACCAGCACCGACACAATACGACAGGGAGTCCGAGACAGTATCAAGACAGTGGTCCATTGAACATTATCATCATCATCATACACGTTAGCTAGAGGTGGGGAACACCTCAGCTACTGTGCCGCAATACAAAGAAAAAAGATGGAAAAAAGCAACTGTTGCAAGCCGGCTGAGCTACCGGTAACGGATGGGCATCGTTCCGGTAAGCTACCAGCCGGCTGCTGTGCACCAAAAAAAATTATTATGCAAAATTATATAAGGCTAAGTAATGAGATCGTGGTTGGAGGGGGAGGCTAAGAGGGGTGGGGTGGGACAAAGACACTCACAGCACGAACGACACTGAGGTCGGCTCCTAGCCATATCAACAAGTGTGTCCAACCAAACGTGTTCATCGTCTTTCGGACCCCAACCAGGGAGCCGAGACGCTCCAACCGAGGCCAGCTCAGAAGTGAGGACCTTCATTCCTCTCGACCAAGTCATCGCTTGGCCACCCCTCCTCTTCTTCCATCCACACCCCCGGCGCGCAAACAACACACTTCGCGGAAGTCGGTGGGCTGGCATGCGTAACACGTGGCCGAGCCATCGGAGCCTGATGCGTGAAATAACGGTGCTGAGCGGTTCAGTTCCTTTTCCTGTGCCATAAACAAGGCGTCGAACACGCTCGTTACTCACACGGTGTTCCCACCAAATGTGAGCTAAATTACGAAGGCACCGGTGGTCGAACGTAACTAGCCTCTTCAGGTCAGCTGCTTTAAGCGACCAGGTTTCACAACCGTACAGTAGGGTCGAACGTACTGCTGCATTGTACACTCTACCCTTCAGGGCAAGAGTGATGTCGCGCCGGCGCCATAAGTGGCGAAGGTTAGCAAAAGCGCCCCGAGCTTTTGCTATACGATTCGTGATCTCATCTTCAATCCCACGGGCGCTGATACAACTTCCCAGGTAGTTGAATTTTTGAACGACTTCTAGCTGATCCCCACCAAGGGTCAGCGTAGGAGGCGGTCCAGACCAATCTTGGAGAAACGCTTTGCACTTCGAGGGTGCGAAGCAAAGCCCGAAGTGACGGACAGCTAGTGCTAATCTGTCCAGTGCCGCTTGGCACGTTTGTGAGCTGTCACAGATGAGGGTAATATCATCAGCATACTCTAAATCAAGAAGTCGTTCTCCTGGGAGTAGCTCCACACCTTCTAAGTCGTGTCCTGTGAACGTGATTTCCATGACTTCGTCAACAGCGAAGTTGAAGAGGAAAGGTGACAGCGGGCATCCTTGTCTCACGCCGCTGGAGATATTAAAGGGCGACGACAACTTGCCGTAAGCCCTCACTCTGCCCGAACTACGAGCATATAATGCTCGGATAATATTCACATATTTCTCAGGTACACCTTTCCTGAGTAGACAGTCCCAAAGTGCATGTCTATCCACCGAATCGAATGCACCTTTGATATCGAGGAACACGACAACGGTGGGCCGCCAATATATGTGACGGTGCTCCAACAACTGACGCTAGGTGAAGATGTGGTCAATGCAGCTACGACCTCGACGAAATCCAGCTTGCTCTTCACGAATCTGGCTTTCACGAGTGCCAGTCAGTCTGTGAAGGATGACAGAGGCAAGCAATTTGGAGGCGATGGAGATCAGACTGATTCCTCTATGGCTGCCGCATTCTGATCGTGAGCCTCCTTTGAAAATTGGGACTATGATGGAGCGGCTCCAATCGGTTGGGACAGTTTCCTGCTCCCACAGTTTGACTAGTAACTCGTGTAAATCATCCACAAGAGCAGGTCCCCCGAATTTGAAGATGGCTGGAGGAAGGTCATCAGGTCCCGCGGCTTTATTTAACTTCAACAGTTTGATCTCATGTTCGACTTCTGAGCGAGAGGGTGGATCCAAAGGAACAGCCCACGGAGCAGGGCGATCACTGGTCGGCGAGAAATCTAACAATTCCGACCGATTAAATTGCCTTTCAAAGTGCTCAGCCCAACGTTCCAGGCGTTTTGATAAATTATGGATAGGCTGTCCACTCTCGTCACGTATAGTTTCACTAACACTAGGTCTCCTGCTGCCCGTTTCCCGTATCAGACGGAATAACTCACGATGGTTACCAAGGACAGCGGCCATTTCCATCTCTGTTGCACGATGAGATCACCAGGATTCGCGGTCTCTCTTCAGGCTAGCACGGCGTTTTGCTCGGAGCTCTTTGCGAGTTTCATTGTGTTCGCTTCCAGCCGGAATATGCCGGCGAGCATCTATAAGTTCCAAAGACTGTGAAGAGACCCAATGTTCATGTTGGCGATTAGACATACCACATGAGGATTTGCCTGCTGCTAGTAAGGCCTGGTGCATATGAGACCAGTGAGCTTCAATTGCATCCAGTGAGCGTTTATCCAACTCGGATGACAGCGTAATTTGATAGGCGTTCAGAACATCTGGCTTCACCAGTCTGCCGGTGTCAATGCGCTCACAACATCGTCGCGGGCGTCCGCCAAAGCGCATCCGCAGGTCAGCACATACAAGTGCATGATCGGTGTCAACACCTGTGCTCCAAATCGAGTGACAGTTCTGGACGCAGCCTCTCCAGCAGTAACTGATAGCAATGTGATCGATTTGCGTCCATAGCTGGTTCGAGGCTAGTGGGCGCCAAGTCACCCTCCGGCGGGTGCTGTGTCGGAAATTAGTGCTCGCAAGAAATAAGCGAGCATCCTCACACAAATGAAGTAACCGCTCACCGTTATCATTACGGGAGCCTATACCATGTTGGCCGCCCAGATGCAGCTCATCTGCGGATAATTTTCCAACTTGAGCGTTCAGATCCCCAGCCAGCACTAGTGTCCGAGCTTCTTCTGTGGCTAAGCAGCTCGTTCAGTTGACGATAGAAGTCGTCTTTTACCGAGTCATCGCTACAGTTTGTCGGTGCATAGGCAGCGATAACGAA